CAGCTGAAATGAGGATGCTGAGATGGGCCTGCGGCTGGACACGACTAGATAGAGTTAGAAACGAAGACGTCAGAGCGGTCACACAGACAGCTCCAATCCAGCTAAAGGCACGAGAGCAGCGGCTGCGGTGGTATGGACACGTGCTGAGGAGGTTCCGAGAACATCCCATAAGGAAGGCGCTGGACTTCGAAGCACAAGGCAAGCGACCTCGAGGAGCCCGAAGAAAAGGTGGAGGGACGTGATCAAGAAAGACCTCACTGAAGTGAAGGCCACGGCAGAGGACGCCCTGGATAGGAGAAGATGGCGACTGTTAACAAGAACAGCGGTCCCCGAGACGAGCGGGATCAACGCTAGGGAGAAGAAGAAGAGGAAGAAAAACGTGCACAACCCTCTTTACTTTAGTGGAAAATTACTCGAACCTGTGTCTTTAGGTTCACCAATAGCTGACAGCGTTACAAGTGTTACTCCACCAATTATGAATATAATCGGAATAGCTATGTTCACCTGAAATATGACAATTAGATATATAAATAGCTACTTTCTTGACGGGAAGAAACCGTTGACGGTGCACTGCCGTGATGCAGCGCATGGGACCGAAGGAGATTGAGGGGGCAGAGTTCGTTATCCTGTCTTCTCGGTCAAACTAGAGCAACTCACTTTGATTGGCCTGTACGCATCCGGCATTTTATATCGAAGTACTAGCAGAGCCACACCCGCAAGAGTGTATGCCACCCAAACAGTGGTCTGGCTGGCGTTGATGAGCACGAAAACATTTGAGGAGAGAAGTATATAGCCGATTGCTAGCATGCTCTGAAAACTGACCAGTTTAGCTCAGTACGCAGATAATCTTTCGGGCCTGAGATCACCAGAACGTTATAGGGTAGGAAGGTGCTATACTTGGCTTTATGGGCGATAAGCGCAAATGGCATAGTGCACAAAAACTCCGTCGCATATGTGGTTTAGTGGTAGAGGTCTCTGTCTCAACAGGCTGCGCCGAGTTCGTTCCCTACCCGATGCACGAAAATGGGCATTGTTTCCGACTTCAA